AGTTAATTAAACACAGGAAAGACTTTATCCTTTATAGGCAGACGTAAGCACAAAACACACCTTCAGACATCAGTGCAAGGTGATTTTGCGTAAGGGAGATCGGTTGCGTAGGGAAAATGAAATGAAGATTAGATGAGAAAAAGTTCGTAGCGTGTTGCTAGGAGGCGGAGAGGAGCGCTGGAAGCTGGCAGGAGTACGGGAGGTATCCAAAGCACGCAGCCTCTAACATTCCTACTGCAGGCATAGAAGCTTTCACCTATGAAACTGGTTTCAAATTTAGAACACATTTTTATACGTTGAGAGAGGGTCTATATGTCTACTTCATGTAATAATTATGAACTCGTGATGTAAATATTGCCCTGAACTAAAATACCGCTTCGAAATCAGAAATGTTCTGTAAATTAATTTTAAACTCGTTTAATTTCGGTGACATGGCTACAGTATGAACACGGCCTTAGTCTCGACAGTGGGAATCAGTGCTTTGCTGAACGTCTAGGTCTTACCCTGGCACTTTCATTAAATACTCGTACTGTCGTGTGAACCATAAAGATAATATAAAATACGGTAGCACTCAGTGGTGGCTTTTAGTCCGTAAGAGAACTATACCGACCGAGCGACCACCGCTTGTCACCGAAGTTAACTTATGCTGACAGAGGGTGTCACGTGATCAGCGCAACGGATCCCCACGGCCGTTAATCTTGGGTTTCTAGACCGGAGCCGCTAATTTTCCATTCAAGTAGTTCCTCAATTATCCTCACGAAGCTGAGTGGACTCCGTTCCAGACCCGCTACTTCTCAGAAAATCTGGTAGCTCCGGGAATCGAACCCAGGAACTCTGCAGTGGAGGTAATATTTCCCCTGTGCTTAATTAAGCATCACGACATGAGGAGGTCTGGGGGCTGTTGATGCTGCACTCATTCTTATCATTGGTATAGGTGAGTGGTTAGTTTCACGCCGCGGCCACTTTACCCAGATGAAGGAGCCCCGGTACTCACGGGTGAGGAGGCTGCTTGGGCACCAGAGCCCATTTTTACGCCCCGGAGAAAAGAGAAATATTTTTCTTTTGCCAGGCATCGAAAACCAGTCCCTCGGTCGTCCGCACCCCGCCGTTGTAGCTTCTGACAGCTGCTTTCGTTTCCGATCTCAGACGTGTAAATGTAGGGATCCTTTTCTTGAGATGTTTTTCGTCCATTTCTGTATTTAGATGTGTCAAAATATCGTTGAGGACAGTGTCCGGAGGGGAATATTTGCACGGAAGAAGGATGAAGAGAGAAGAATTGAGAAGGCTACATAATGAGTAGCTACATAACCTGTACTCTTCACCATAATTAGAATAATCAAGTCGAGGCCGATGAGATTGGCAAGGCATATAACACGCGTAGAGGATGAGAAGAATGCATATAGGATTTTGGTGGGAAAGCCAGAAGGAAAGAAACCACTAACAAGACCTAGACATAGCTGCTAGGATAATATTAAAATGGGATCGGCTCAACTTCTCACAGAAATGAGTATACGGAATCTTCCTGGGTGTAAAGGGCGGCCGGCGCGTAAGGCTGACAACTTCACCACCATCTTCGAGCCGATTGTCTAGAAAATGTGGGAGCTTCGACGTCTCACAAACCAATGGGCCTCCATGGCTTGTTTCAGAGATAGCTTTACCTTACTCTAACCTTACGAACTTCGGTAGCATATTAATTAATTATACTTTCTCTTTGGATTATTGTAGCCGTTGCGTACATGTAGACTATGTAGCCTGGAAACGTTGGATGATGTGTGAATTATGAATTGTAAAAAATTTAGAAGAAAATATTTTCGGGCCTACTAGATGTATCATCCTTGCCTAGAGAGACTGAGAAAAGTCACGGGACAACCGGTGGCCTAACCGAAATTCGAACCGAGCTCCTCTCGAAAGCGTTGCCGGTTCGCCAGGGTGCTCTGTAATTAATCTAAATTAATTTTATATGCTACAAAAAGATCATTTACATTAATAGTTACTATCTTCTTGGGTAAGTAAAGTAAGTAAAAGTAGAGCTATCCCTGTAAAAGGCTGTGGAGGGCCATAGGGTTGTGAGATGTTGAGGTTCCCACACTTTCTAGATAATCGGCTCACAGATGGCGGTAAGTTTGTCAGCCTTACTCGCCGGCCGCCCTTTACTCCCAAGAACATTCCAAGAATATTCCTGGTACTCATTTATGCTAGAGACTGAGCCGACCCCAGGCCCATAGTGCAGCTGGAAGGATTAGGTATTTAAAAAAAAATCCAATGATCTCACCGGGATTCGATCCCGCGACCTTCTGGCTTGTAGCATAGTGCCTTAACGAACTACGCTACCGTGTGCCCTGAGCTTCTTGGGTATAATTCCATATAATCCACTGAAAGTCAACTGAAGTTTCGGAGGAATGTATAGCCTGTGTCTTCAGGGTAGAAAACAAATCGAGTAAGAAACCAGCGTGAAGGTAGATGGAAAGCAAAGCTTATTCTATCCTTCTGAAGATGGAGGTGTTGTTTCTCCGAAACGTCGGTTGCTTTTCAACGGGCGACAAGGCGTTATATCCCAGAATATAGAATTCTTCATAACCGCCGCTGTGGGAACCTGAAATCCTACGTAGAATTTTTGTTACATTTAATATTATATAAAATACGTCATGGGGGGAGCCGATTTCATAGAACACGGATAAATAAAGGTAATGAGAGTGCAGCTGCTAACTTCCATTATCCGTGACTCGTTTGCTGCTGACGTCAGCGTGTTGGGAAATGCATGACGTCAGTAACGCTCATCTCCCTTTAAGGAAACCTTCGATGTAATATCGACTTCGAACTATGCACCTGTAACTTCCACTACATACACCGATCTATTCATCACGGAGCACCCCTTCCTGTATTCATGACCCTTCCACAGTATCATCCCCCCCCCATATTTCTCGTACATAATCGACTCTTTTGTATTACATCAAACTTTCCCGTCCCCCCTCAGCGTCACACATATGAACGTAAACTTTAATTTTGCTTCCACCAACCTAGCCCTCTTGTGAATTAATGACTAGCTACCCTACATTGAAAGCAAAACGAATCGAATTTTATTAGAATTCTTTAGCAAGGAAATCGGTGTTGATCTCGGCTAATAGAAACAGAAAGGGTGTCTTTGTGACAGAATTATTGGACTCCACTTCCCAAGGGCCATGCTATCACAGCTGCGAATATTTGCGAGTGAACTGTATGCAGCTACCTCGGTTCATCATCAAACAATTCATTAAACTTCGGTTGAGATGTCCAAAAAAGTAATAACATACCAAATAGATTAATTATCCCCTATATATGTCTAGTTCAGTATCTGGAACAACAGAAGTGCCATAAGAACTAGTTCTGGTTCGGGTCGGGTGAGATGAGAGCGGGTAAATTGCTGATGGTCCTCGCCGGCAGAGCCAGTCTTGGTTTCGGGTTTTCTGTGCGTCCCGTATTGTATCAATTAGTTTGTTCCAGCACTTCTTGTTCTGTTTTAGAAAGCATTTAAGTCGAAACACCTCTGCTCGTTATCAGCGACGTATTAGTACTCTCATGCAGTTTTCATGCCATTTTCACCTCATTTTTTCACCTCTGTACTCTTCAATTTTGAGCCAGAATAGCTCAGTCGATATAGCGGTGGGCAACGGGCTGGAAGGTCCGATTTCGATTCTCGGCAGTGACAGATTTTTCTCTTCTCCACGTCGTCTACACCGACAGTGGGGCCCACCCAGCCCCTTGTTCAATGGGTACCGGGGGGCTCATTCCCTAGAAGTAAAGCGGCCGGGCCGTGAAACTGACAACTCACCTCCATCTAGTGCCGAGGTCAAGAATGGTGGAGCTATACTCTATTCCTGAATGCTTCTTTATCGCGTGGTGCTTAATTAAGCACAGGGACAGCTTTACCTTTATCCTTCAGTTATTTTTATCGTCAGGAAGCGAATGTAAATGCCCGGTGCTTCGTTGTCCCTAAGAGTTCTTCTTTATTTTCCGCTTTTCATTTGATTGGGCATCCTTGTTGCCGGTTTTAAGTCATTTATTTTGTCATGATTTAATCAATTGGCCCATCGATAGCCCCATCGAATGAAGTATCGCTTTGCACTTTGAGCATCCGTGGAACAATGTCTGATTTCATCTATCCAACCACAAAACAATTTGTTCCATTCAAACATTTCAAATTGGAGTTCAGTGTAGATGGATTGTTAAGTTGCCATGCTTGTAATCTTTCAGGTTTAAATACGCTTATCTCTATCATCACATTTTCGAATATTTAAAATATTTTACACAAAAGCCGTCAATATACCAGGGCCTGAGCCAGTTCAATTCAATCCATTTTATAGGTTCCTATTATCTAAAACCCAGTTCAAGCACCAAATTCTGTCTAAATATAATTTCGTTGTCTTCACCGTTATGCACCATATAGTAAGTGTAGTATTTGAAGTAAGTTTGCTCCTCCGAAACGTCAGTACCCACATACAAGACTAGAAGAAGACTAGACATACAAGAACCAGAAGAAAACAATATGAATTTTTACCACCTTGCAAACTTCAAATCTTGAAGTTGTCACGATATTAGATTTGAGAGGGAGGGGAGCTTTCGCCGTTGGAAACCGCTACCAAGCAACGGCTAGTGAAGACAGAGAAGACTTTATATATGTGTTGTAGTTACAGTGATCTTTGGAATGTGTATCTCAGTGAGATTGTCGTAGTTATTTGTAGTAACGAGCTGTATGAATGTCCAGTAGATCCAATTACCAATCGAAACCCGACTGTAGTCATTCATAAACGTGACAATATTAAGAGTTCATTTTTGAGGCTTCCAGTTAAATTTTTTAATTTTATTTATTATCTGTGATATTTCTATTATAGTGTTTTCTCTGTTTCTTCTTCAGCCTCTAGGGAGATTGATACATCCACCTGAAAACTTGGCTTTGCATTAATATGTGTTTGTTTCTGTAACTGAAACCTTCGTTCTAACTAATTGGCTCTGCTGTATTTCAGTGACACCGAAACTGTTATCCGTGAATTGGCAGCGTCGGAGACCTGAATCTGCAGGTCCGTGAAAATTTTTCTTATTTTACCAATTTCTATTCCTATTAGTCTTATTAAGGCTCAGTCGGTATAGCGACGGACTAGCTTGACGGCCGGGTTCGCTTCCCTATAAGAGCAATATATGTTTCTCTTCTCCATAACGGCGAGACCGGCTCTGGGGCCCACCCAATGGGTACTGGGTGCTTTTTCCCCGGAGTTCAAGCGTCCGGGTCGTGAAGCTGACCACTCACCTCCATCTAGTCTCGAGTTGAAGAATGGTAGAGCTATACCTCCACTTCTTCATACGTCTTAATGGCATGGTACTTAATTAATTAAGCACAGTGATTAAATAGAAAGAGAAAATTAGCGTGCTGTCTTCTGAAATGTGGTGTCGTTTTATCTGGTGGAAATTTACCGACCTTCGATAGGACATACTGCCTCCATCTTCGGAGTCTAAATGTAAGCTGAAAAGCAAGCAGTAAGCAAAAAGAACTCTACTTGATCCTTTCTTCTTGCTGATTGCTTGTTTCACTTACTCTTTAGCCCTGGGGATGGACGCAGAACGTTCCTCCGAAACGTTGTCAAATTTCTATCAGGCTACACGACGTCACCTCGCAGAAGATAGAATTCTTCACTGTCACGAGATTATAATCACTTTACTAACAAAATATTGGACACTGATCAATCGTATTGACCGGAATACTCATTAATCAGTGGGCCCTCACTTGATCAACAGATCGCTATGTTCACAAAGGGGCTCGACAGTTCATTTCCATGCTCACAACAGCTAGTCACTGGACACTACAATGAACAAATTTGAACCATTGCACAGCATCATATCCTTCGATTTAAGATCCATTTTAATAATATTCTCCCACGTACACATATCTCAAAATTTGCCTCTATCCTACAGCTTTACAAATGAAGTGTTGTATATATTTATCATCTTTCCCTTGCGCGCTGCGTGTTCAGCCTATGTTGAACCCTTTTACTGTAATAACATTTCATTATTATGAAATAACTCATTATTCTGTTGCTTTCTCTGTCGTTAGTCCGATTTTTCTCCTCCGTGCTTGAGTCTCACGTCCTTTCAATCTATTTCCGTTTCATAAGATAAGATACCAAGTTCTACACCCATACAAAAACATAGGCGAAATTTTGCGGTGCCCTATGAGCATTGCTGAACAGTTGAGTGATTGTTAGCTCCTCAACAAAGGACCCTGAACTCGTAAATTCAGCTGAAAAAAGTGTTGGAGATGTTCCTGGTTCGAATCTCGGCCGATACATCAACTATTTTGACTGATAATTTTCGTGGTTATCTTCTGTCGATCCAGGCACATTCTACTAATGCCTTGAAGTAGGCCACTTGTGCGTACATCCACATTTTTTTTTCCTTGGCACTACAGCCCCAGTGGGCCTAGGCCTACCTCCATGAACTTCTCCGTTCACTTCGGTTTTTCTAGATCTTAGACATACGATAGGACCCCTTTGGCGGGTGATCAGCTCGTCGCAAGGCCTCTACCTGTACACAAACAGAGAAAAACGCACACACACAAACTAAACATCCATGCTTTGAGTGGGATTCGAACCCACGATCCCGGCTTCCGAGCGAGCAAAGACAGTACATGCCTTAGAACGCTCGGCTACCGTGACCGGCCATATCCACATATACCACCGAGAAATAACATGAAGCTGTGTATTCTCAGATAGAGCGTCGTTAAATAAGTTTCAAAATAAATAAGATGGACTCTGGTATTTGGAGTTATGATTTCAAATATGAGATATAATAATTTGACATAAATGTATTTACATAGCACATGATATATCGTGTTTATTTTGCAGAACATTCGTCTTACCGTACATTACCGAAGTTTATAAATCAACATCGTAGTTACAGAAATTTTACGTTTATTGCATTTCTTTTGCCTTTGTCCATTGTTCACTTCTATCCCGTATCTCACCTTCTGACAAAATCTCCCTCTGTCGGTACCTCCCCCTTCTCCGCTCTTCCGCTGTTCAGAGTTCTGCCTCTACCCTCTTCATCCAGGCAATATTGGTTCCTCCCTGTCAGCTGGGATGGTAGGTCCATGGCAGCTATCACTGAGATCTGCACCCGAGTATACTGTTTGGAATCCCAAGTGCGTAGTTGGACTAAGTGACAATTCATCGTGTCACCGGGTCAGTAGAACCGTAATTTCTGCCCTGTTATTAACGGAATCTTTTATCGCTCTTACCCATGGAGCTGAGCCCTTCTTGAGAAGCCGCCAATTGTGCAGATACTCAAGAGCGTCCCAGCATTTTATGGAACCCGAAGGTTCATTACCGTGTTCACAAGAGCCCTCCACTTGTCCCTATACTGAGCCAGATCAATCTAATCCATGCCATCCCATCCTATCTCTCTAGGATCCATTTTAATAGTGTCCAGCCACCTACGCCTTGGTTTTCCACGTGGCCTTTCTCCATCTGGCTTTTCCACCAGTATCCTCTATGCATTCCTCTACTCCCCCATTCGTGCTACATGCCCTGCCCACCTCATCCTCCTTGAATTGGTCATTCTAATTATACTTGGAGAAGAGTACAAGTTATGAAGCTCCTCATTGTGCAGTTTTCTCCAGCCTCCCATCACTTCATCCCTCTTGGATCCAAATATTCTCCTCAACACCCTGTTCTCAAACACCCTCAGTCTATGTTCCTCCCTTAATGTCAGAGATCAAGTTTCACACAACGAATGTTTGGGACTAATAATAATTTATATTACTGAAATCATTAATTACTAACTTCTGCCTTCCCCAGTCCATAACGATTCGAGTTTCGGTTCAGAGATAAAGCCAAAGATTTAAGAACATAGAATGTGATAATGTGCTGCCTGATCAGGGCTCTCGTACACGTCCGGCGGATATGATATATGAAGGTGCAGCAATGATGAAAGTTGATCAGCTGAGGAGGGGCAAAGAAGGTTGGAAAATAACGCGCTCTGATGCCATTTCATCCACCATAAAAGGAATCCCATCTGAAATTACCCGAAATTGAAGCCAAGGCTCCGCGGTGGGAAGCCAGCATCTAGTGGTCTGACATGTAGACTTAACTAATGTGGTGGCCTTCATTAACAAAACATGAAATTTTCTTAGCTGCAAAAATGGGATATAGCCGACTCGTTTGGTACGCAACTTCAAATGCCTCTAATGGCTCGCTTGTTTTACTTTGCTAGAGCTGAAATCCTGTTGTATGGGTCCTTGCCTTGGTTCGTTAACAGTAATTTTTTCGAGATGTGCTCGCAGCCCAACGCACAACCCCCAGCCTGGCTCCTACGCCTTAACCTGTATGGCATGTGTGGCCCTACCAGGAGCTAATGCTCACACCAGCAAAGCTCTCCGGGTCACTGGGGCACGCAGACTTCCTCTCCACTATGAGCCGGTAATCCTTGAAGAGGCTATGTACTGTACCGAACTGAATGTGGAGAAGTGGTGGGGTAAGGATTAGTATGGAACACATCGTTCTGCTGTCGCTTTGTTCTTTAAAAACACAGCCCTCACTCGCTTGTGATCCAACCCAAGTGTCCCCTGCATAAATATGGCATTATTAAAAGTACAAATATTTATTTTCATGTTATTCAACAACTCTCTCGAAAATCAGACAATGCAGAGTCGGCTGCTTGTAATGAATCTGTAATTACGTTGACGGAAGCTGTCCTGAATTAAACAGAGTTACTAGCCCAGAATTTGTCTGATGGAACTGGGGAACCCCGCAAAAAACAGGACCGTTCCATAGTTCAGGGTACTAGTCGCCGTCTTCCCAACCGTTGCGGCCCGAGCTCGATCCTGGGTCAGGTTACGTGGGATTTGTGGACGGAAGTGGCACTGAGGCAGGTTTTCTCAGAGTGTTTCGGTTTCCCCTGCCAATTCTCATTCCAACAGCTACTCCATGTTCGTTAATCACGTATTCTCGACGCTGTATAGCCTCGATACTGACGGAATCATTGGAGAATTTTAACAAATCTACAAGATCCCTCACTCTGGACAGTGTTCCCGCCAGAGATGTGGAGTGCCTTTTTAATAATAATTAGAAGCGATACTCTGTTAAAACCAAAGTATTTAAATTTTATTTGTGAGCCGGGATAGCTCAGTCGGTATACTTACATGCTACTGGCTGGACGACCGAGGGGTCGGATTTCGAGTCCCGGCAATATCGAGAATTTTCTCCTCTCCACGCCGTCCAGACCGACTCTGGGGCCACTCAACCTCCTATACAATGGGTACCAGAGGCTCTTTCCCCGGGGGCAAAGCTGCTAGGACGTGAAGCTGACCATTCACCTCCACCTCATGCCGAGGTCAAGAAAATGTGGAGCTATACATCCACACCCCCACACGTCTTCATGGAGTAGTGCTTAATTAGTTAAGCACAGGGACAAATTTGCCTTTTATTTACTTTGTTCGATATTATTTGATATAATAATTATGAGGTTCTGTTCTTATAAGAAATTATGAAGTAGCGAACATTACTTTGCGTGTCGTGGAACTTTTGAACAAGACAAGTAGGTAAGAAGGCAGTTCTTGCAATGAACTTTTATTTTAAACGAGTTGGGTGTGAGGGTGTGGTAGAAGAAAATGAATTTTATTTTTAATTAATTAAGCACCGCACCATGTAAACCTGTGGGGAGCGGAGGTATAGCTCCACAATTCTTGATCTCGACACTAGGTGGATGTGAGTGTTCGGACTCACGCCCCAGCCGCTTTACCCCTGTGGAGAGATTCCCCGGCAACCATTAGATAGGGGGTTGTTTGGGCATCAGAGCCTGTCTGGAGAAAACAACCCCCTTTCGCCCTCTACCGAGAATCGAATGTAAGTTTGTCATTCATCTAGTCCACAGTCCAGCTGCTATACCGTCTGAGCTATTGTAGCCGATGAGATGTTTCAAAACCAAAAATACTCTTTGGGGCTGAATGTTATTTTTTTATTGGAAATACACCTGACTGTCTAATAAACAAAACTATTTCGTTGCTATGGTTACTGTGAAAACATATTAA